AACAGTAATTTTTAACAAAACAAATATTATTCAATTAATTAATTAATTGTCAAAGTGACATCGTAAAAAAATAAAATCGCCATTATGATGGGACTTGAAAAGCAAAGAAAGATTATTATTACAAGTCCAAAAGTAAGAAAAAAAAATAACATTTCGTTTTACTGAGTCAGAATAATGAAGTTTTAATTACCGATTTGCTCGTTTCAAAAAAGCAAAAACAACACTTGCTGTTAAAGTGTTGCTTTATCTACTCAAAAGAGTTTATAAAGAAATAGTTTAACATCTGATATAGAAAAAAAGTATTTCGTTTACTTTTTGAGCGTGAAATCAAAGGTAAAAATTTGTTTCCTTTTGATTGCCTATTATAAAATGTATTATTAAGTTCAAAATTTTAATTATAAAGGAAATAATTTGATAGAAATTGGCAAAATTCACAGTTTATTAAAAAATACTGGCATTTAAAACTAGTTCTACAATTTTGATTTTTGAAAGCTGTAAATAAAGAACCTTAAAAGTCAAATCAAGCTAAAAATGTTTTTCCTTTGCAGTTTTGGCGTAAAATCAAAGGTACATTTTTTTTCCTATTGTAAACTTAATCCGGGAACATACTGTATACTTGCAAAATTCTTTAATAAATTTATGTATTTGTAATTTGATAATTTGAGCAAGCTTGTTTATTATAATCACAATTTAATGTATTCGTTATTATCTATGCTCATTGAAGTAATTTTCACAAAAAGACATTTTTCGGGTCCGGACCAACTTCCTAAATACGATTCGAGAGTCTACCTGCGTGCAAGGGGGCCAGGGCCGTACCCAAGGGGGGAGATTAGGTTGTTCAAACCCCCAAACACAAAAGACCCTTTTTTATGAAAAACTATGAAATTTTGTTGCTGAAATCCCATCTAGTTAGGAAGCCCCTAATTAAAAATTTCAACATTTTATTTTTGTACTTGTTTAGGTGTATAACAGTTATCATCTGTAGCAAATCTTGAAATTTTTTTCGAAAATGATTTCGGAAATATTGAAAAAACCTATTAAAAGACGCATTTTTCGATATATGTTCATAGAAAATTTTTGTTTTAAAAATGAATATTCATCTCCTGTTTAAATTTGTAACAATAAAAAGTATTAAGAATTTATTTTATTTTTTGTTACTTTTGTGAGTTAGTTTGTATTTTTTTATGTTTAATTAGAATCTCTTATTTCAATTTAAAATAAAAACGTGTACTTAGAGATTTTTGATTTTTAATCCGTCTTCTTTCATTTTATTTTCATGGACCAACAAGAAATCCCCCCCCCCCCCAACATAAAATCTTGGTTACGGCCCTGAAGGGGGCCCTAAATCACAGCCGATTTGGCGCATTTCACGCGCTTTCAAAACGAAAAAACTCGTAAAATTCCTCGGCGAAAAGGTTAAAGAAGACGTACGTCCCGTATGTAAATTGTTATTTTGAAACCAGTCTGGCTTGTGTTGGACACAACACTGGTAGCTACTGTGCTCCTTATCTCGATCTGAATTAGTAAAAATCTCAAGCGTTAATTAAAAGTTATCAAACTCCCAATCAATGTCATAATGCCGGCCATTATTTTTAATGCATTCAGAGGCCGTTGCGTTGGCATCTTTATTACTCATTATTTTTACCGCCGATTCCCGGAATCCGAATCCGGGAGCCGCGACGTGGGACAGAGTGTGCCACAAAGGCCTCGACAATGCTTTCGATTATTCTGAAGAGATCGTTCAGCCTGAACACCTTTCCATTGTCCACTGATCAAGAGACTTCATGCCACAATACGCCTTTATTAACTCGAGAACAGATTGTGTTTGTGAATTTCCCAAAAGGCGAAAGACAGGTGCTAAAATCGACGGATTTTTTGCATTTTTTTTTGTATTTATCAGAGTGTGTCGTAAAAATTCAGTGGATGCGACAGTAGATTGCAGTCAATTGTCGAGTTAAAAACTGAAAACTGAAAAAATTGGTTATCTGATTGATCGCGCTGATATGACGTTTCACACGACCGGACTTGGACGACCTTTGAGACGATAAAAATAATTAAACACAAAATGCTTCATTAAAAATATGGAAATTAAACAGGCAGCGGAATGATTAATTTGTAAAACACACTAAACACAATTACGGGAATTTTAAGTTTTTTTTATAAAGTGGAATACAAATAATAAATTTAAATTTTATCTTACATTCTTTTAATTCTCGATTTATTATAAAAATTTCAAATTCTTTCGGTTCTGGCCTTGACTATTCACAGAAACTTATATTGAAACATCTTCAAAAATGTTGTGAAATGCCTTTCTACTTTTTTCTTATTTTTTAATAAAAAGCTAAATCGTTAAACTTTTGGAAATGTTGGACATTCAAACTGTTGGTTTCTTTTCACTCAAAATACTGCATAATAAAGGCAAAGTTGAAATTTTGAGAGAAATTACAAATTTCGTATTTAATGATCAATAAACAAAAAATGTCGGCACTCTAGGGGGAGTTTTTAGAAGACGAAATTTTGAGCATATTGCTGTTTAAGGCAAAGGACCAAATTTTAATGGCAATTTAAAATGCAGAATTTTGAATTTTTAGTACAAAAGCCAAAATTTTGACTTTGAAAATTGAAATTGTAACTTTTGGAGGATAACTGATCAGGAATTTTACCTCTATGCAGGTTAGAACTTAGATTTTCGAATTTATAAAAAAATCATTTAAATAATCTTTTAATTCTGAAAATTTTTATCTTAGATTTGTATTTAAACTAAAAAGTTCAGTGTTTAATGCAAACTACGGAATTTTAAAGTCGCAGTTTCAAGTTTTAAAGCGGAATTTTTGTGTTTGAAATGCAAAATTTTAAATTTATAAAAAAAAAATTAGTACCTATACAAAAGCTAAAACTCTGAATGTGAGATTTAAAATTTCGACCCTAAAAATTCAAATTGTGACTTTAGAACAACGAAAATAGTAAAAATAAGTTAAAACTTTAAGAAAAAAATAAAATTTCGAATTTAATGATCAATAACCAAAAAAATGTCAGGACTCTAGGTAGACTTTTAGAGTTTTTAAAAGACGAAATTTTTAGCATGCAGTTAAAATTTTAGTGTTTAAGAAAAAGGATCGAATTTTAAAGTCGCAATTGTAAATTTAAAAAGCCGAATTTTCGAATTTGAAATAAAGGGTTTAGAATTTTTAGTACAAAAGCCAAAATTTTGACTTTGAAAATTGAAATTGTAACTTAGGGAGGATAACTGACCAGAAATTTTACCTCTATGCAGGTTAGAACTTAGATTTTCGAATTTATAAAAAAATATAAATTTTTCGAAAATTTTAAATAATTTTTTAATTTTAAAAGTTTTTATCTTAGATTTACAAAAAAACAAGTTTAAGTCAGATATTTGTGTTTAAAGTAAAAAGTTCAATGGGTAATGTAAACTACAGAATTTTAAAGTAGCATTTCAAGTTCTAAAGAGAAATTTTTGTAAAATTTTAAATTTATAAAAAAAATTGTAGGTACCTACAAAAGCTAAAATTTTGAATTTGAGAGTTGAAGTTTTGACCCCGAAAATTCAAATTGTGACTTTAGAACAATGAAAATAGTGAAAATAACTGAGCTAGTTTTTACGTCTATGCAGCTTAAAATTTACATTTATGAAAAAAAATGTTTTTTTTGAAAATATTGAATAACATTTTTGAATTTGTAAAGTTCTTATCTTAGACTTGCAAAATACATGTTTAAATGTTGACAAAATTTAAAGCTTATTTATGTCTAAAAATCAGAATTTTTACTTTACTCAAAATATTAAATTTAAGACTAAAAAAATTAAGTTTATTGTTATAGAATTTTGAAGATTTCATGTCTGCTTAGCTGAAAACACAAAGTTTTTAATTAACAAAAAAATGCTAATTTTATTTAAGAATTTTAAGTTTATTTTTTAATTTTGGTTTTAAAAGTTAAAAAAAAATGAGATGAGAATAAGTACAGAATTTGATTTCTATGAGGGTTAGAAATTTAACTACAATCTATTCAGAATTCAGTTGCCCATAAAACTGCAAAGTAAAAATGTCCTTGTTAAAAATCAGAATTTTGATCCTTAGTTTAAAACAAGGAATGAATGCGGAATACTAATCTGGAATTAAAATTCAAAATATTGAATTTACAAAAAAAAATTCTAATTTTAGATTTGTAGAAAACAAGTTTAAAAAGTCTTGAACTCAAAATGTTAACTTTAAAGTAAAATGTTGAACTCAAGTATTAAATTTGGACAAAAAATTAAGATTTTGAAATTGAAATTTTAGAATTTGTCATTTCAAATTTTCTAACAGAGAAATTCAACTCAAAATTTTGATATCTTGACAAAAACTGTAAAAAGTAAAAAAACAAATTAACTTTTAAGCTTGAAACTAAGCAACAATCAATAAAAAAGTAATAAAAAGAAAGCACTTTCCACTCCGTCTATAGAGAGAAAATTAACTTTCAACTTTGATCGATTTTTAGTCCAACCATTGTTGGATAAAATTCCAAAATTAGCATTTTAAATCCTTAATTGTTTTATTTCTGTTTCGTTGAAATGAATGAGTGAACGACAAATCGTCCTTGATTAATTATAATTTTTTGGCACGCCACTGGCCAAAAAAATCTCGTCAAATTGCCGACGTCCCTGGAAGCCTTTAATAGTCCGTGACACGAGCGTTCCCGGCAATTAACCGAAAACAACGTTAATTCGGCCCTCGACCAAAAATACCATCAGAGAGCGACCTTATGTTTCAAATTATAAAACTTAAAACTAGTTGATCGTCGAGATATCGAAAATTTACGACTCTCTTTCCTCTTTATTAAAATAAACCTCTCGGTATAATAACAATAAAGCAGCGTCTCGAGTAATTTCTATTAATTAAAATAAATAAAATTCCGTCGCGAACAAACGAGCAACAATTGCACCGCCATTTATCTTCCCTCGGGAATTGCAAAACAATGGCTAATCTACGGCCGACGCCATCTAGCAATTACAGGGATAATTACTGTCCTAAAGGCCGGCTCACAACGGAAGGTGTGTCCGCAGGGGGTGGCGAAGAGGGGGGGGGGGCTGTGTAACAGTTTAATTTGCACATTAGCTCCCGACAGAGAAAGCCTGAATTAATTAACGCCATTATCGCCTATCATCTGTTTTAATTGCCTCGCGAGGGCGCCATGTTGTTTTTACTAGAAATTAAAATGGCCGCCCCTAACAATGGTGTAGTCATTATATAGAGGCATAATCAGAATACAGAAATGGTAAATTGCCTCGGAGATAACGAGACCGGTTCACACCGCACAAGCGGGGGCGGCGGTCTGGGGACTTTGGCGCGGGCCGGGGACGCCGCTCCGGGACCACCGACTCCGGGAGAGGCTCGTCTAGAGTCGGCGAGGCTCTCACCGGAGGAAAATCCGAGGAGAAAAATGGAAATCGAGGGCTGGGAGAGTTAGTCGGGTGTGAAACTGGCTCCGTTTCGCAGAGAACGGAGATAGCCACGAAAATGAAGTAATTAAAACTATAAAGGGCAGGTTAATTGTTCTCCCTACCATCACGTAAATTAAAACAAACCAATTATGGTCCTCCTTTGTCGACCTTATCTTCGGGTCTCTCTCGCGAGCACTCGACAATTAATTCCGAATTGCGAGGAGATCAATACGGAGTTTTTACACTCCGTTGTGGCCAATTTACAATTTATTATTTCACTTATTTATTTCACTGCACACAAATTAAAAGTTCAGTGTTTTGATCCAAAAAAAGTCTTAATTTTGGAAAAGTTTAAACCGAAATAAATAAGCAAAAACCGTGGCATTAACTGCAATGTTTTATTTAATTATTATTATTTTTTTTATCAAAATGTGTTTTTCGCACGCAAAGTTAACAATTCTTAAATAAAAACAAAATAAAAAATTGCTAATTTTTATCAGCTTATAAATTGACTCAAGTGCTCAGCTTCAAACACAGTAGAAATTATGTTTCTTGAGTTGTTTTAGGTTTGCTCAGTTTTTGTTATTATGAAGTAATTAATTCAAAAATTACTTCAAAATAATAAAATAAACTGACTTATTAGCTCAATTTACTAAAAACTGTATAGAATTACTCTCTGAGTACATGTTTTTTGTAAACAAAGTTCCAAAAGAGCTCATAATTCTTTAAAAACAAAACAAAAAATTGCTCATTTGTAACTATTATCAGCTTATAAATTAACTCAAGTTCTCAGCTTTAAACAATGTAGATATTATGTTTCTTGAGTTGTTGTAGAACTGAAATTTTTTTGACAAAAAGAAAAGCATCTCTTTAGTGCTCAGATTTGTTCAGTTTGTATTTTTATTAAATAATCAATTCAAAGATTAGCTCAAGATAAAAAAAAATATTTAATTTATAACTATTATCAGCTTATAAATTGACTTAAAACATAGAAGAAAATATGTTTTAGAGTTGAAATTTTTAGTGCTCAGATTTGTTTGTGTTTATATAAATAATAATAAATTCAAAAATTACTTTAAGATAAGAAAATAAAATAACTTATTTACTCAGTTTACTAAATTACCCTCTGAGTACATGCATGAGTTATTTACTCATATTACTGAACTCTAAAAAAATGGTTAATTTTAAATCTTTGAAGTGCAAAACATAAGTAGAACGTTGAGGATCAGAAAATTAAATCACACGCTCAGTTCAAAAACTTATGTCATTCACTACTTGTTTCACAGGCTCAGATTTCTAGTAATTTAAAACATTTCATAAAGCATTTAATCATAGAAAACTGAGCAATAGATACCTAAAGATTAAACATATCTGTTATTGAAAGCTCAGTTTAATTGAATTCAGTTTTATTTCACAAAATATAATTGAGTCAACGAACAATTAATTTTAAATCTTTAAAATAAAAAAAGCTTAGGATAAGTAAGTAAGTCTGTCGATTTAAGAAAGATCCACTCAGTTTTAAAAATAGCATTCTCTGCTCAGATTTCTAGTATTTTATTAGTTATAACCATTGTAGTTATACTTATAATTTAATTGTTATCTTAGAATCAGAAAATTGAAAAGTATTCGCTCAGTTCAAATGTATTTAGAATCTGAGTCAAGATCTTACTCAGATTACTCTTGTGTCATTTTAAATGTAAATGATAAACTCTTATTATTTTCATATTTTGACAAAAAAATTATTATTAACTAATTATTATTGACTAAAATTTGACGAAAAAAATATGCATTCTAACTCAACGCTAAAACTTAAACGCTAAAACAAATGCATAAATAACACCATTTTTGATCTACTTTACTAATTTATTTACTATAAATTTTGACAAAATTTTCGCAAATTAATTGTGTTTCTGAATAAAAAACTTGGTAAAATACTCAAGAAAATAACAAAACAAAGTAATTTTTGACTAATTTTAGTAAATTTTCTGTCTGGTTTAGCAGTTTCTTTAGAAAACTCAAAAATATCACCATTTTTGACTTAATTTTATATGTCTTAAACCCATTTCTAACAAAATTTTCCAAATTATAATTGCAGTTTTAGCTAAAAAACACTTATCTATGATGCAATTACCTAATTTTGTATCCTTAAAATAAAAAAAGCTCAGGATAAGCTCAATTTAAATTGAAATCTGTCGATTTCTGTTATTTTCTGCACAGATTTCTAGTATCTTATTTGGTATAACAATTTTAGTTATACTTATAATTTAATTGTTATCTTAGAATCAAAAAATTAAACTATTCGCTCAGTTCAAATGTATTTAGAATCTGAGGCAAGATCGTGCTCAGATTACTCTTGTGTCATTTTAAAAGTAAATGATAAGCTCTTAAGTATTATATTATTTTCATATTTTTTATTTTTTATAATTGATTTCAAAATATGTAATTTGCATTTTTCTACTCAGAAAAATGAGCTTAGTTTTATTCCTCAAATTATAATTGAGTCTACGATACAATTCATTTTAAATCTAAAATGAAAAAAGCTCAGGATAAGCTCAATTCAAATATAAGTATGTCGATTTAAGAAAGATCCACTCAGTTTATAAATTGATTCAGTTTTAAAAAACTGCTCAGATTCTAGTATTTTATTAGGTATAAACATTTTAGTTATACTTATAATTCAATTGTTATCTTAAAATCAGACAATTAAACTATTGCTCAGTTCAAATGTGTTTAAAATCTGACTCAAGCTCTTGCTCAGATTACTCTTGGATCATTTTAAAAGTAAATAATAAACTATTACTTTATTATTTCCATGTTTTGTAGGAGTATTTATTTATGATTGATCCCAAAAAATCTAATTTGGATATTTTTTCCAAGTCGTAGCCATGAGGTTTGACTGTTGCGAGCGTAAACCTGTCATTACTGTTAACGGTAAGTATTCGATTTGTCCTTTTGTGCTCGCCTTTGCTTTTCCTGCGGCACTCGACCTTAATTTCCATCATCATCGATAAAAGCGGTGGGAAAAGCCTCGGAAAACTCCGGTATCAGCCATTAGCCCACTCGTACACTCCTCCCGATTTTTATTTGAGGATAATAAGCCCGTCACAACTCCTCTGGTCCACTCTGTTAGATTACATGACAGTGCCATATTGGCGCGTCTCTTTCACCCACCACAACACTTTCCCCGGAGCGAAGTCGGCCGAGATTTCCGGTGGCAGACCCTCGGCCCACTCGGATATTGGGAATGCGATATTTATTAGATTTTTAGGAGCGCGAATTTCCTCCCCCGTCGAGATTTGTGTCTTTTCTATGAATTTATTTCGGCCGGTTTGTGCTACATGTATTAAGGGCTTCATCCGGAGGTGGCTTAAATGAAAAGGCGGGCCCGGACGATACGGGCGTCAAAAAGGGGCGATAACGCCGATAATTGAACGTTTGCAACCCTCACTCAAGGGGACCAAACCATGTTTAGATCGCACATTTAGATCAATTTTGTTTGTTGTTGCTCAACAATTGCTGCATCATAATCCCTCCTTTTATGGCCTCGACGGGCACACGCAGATAAGAATTATTTTTCATTCAAGCGCGAATGGACCCTCGATCAGCTCACAAGCGCTAAGCCGATTGCAAACACCTAATTAACTCACAAAAAATTTTGCTTTTTACATGGGAGAGATAATTGCAAAATTGAATCAATTCTAATTAACACTCTGTACAACAAGAGATAACCAAAATCACTTACATCAAAGCCTTATTTACCAATGTGCAATGTTTAACTTTTTTATTAATATTAATAATAATGCTACAAGAATTTAAGTCAAAATTTTTCAAAAATTTTTGTAACTTGACAACACCGCACTCGAAATTTAGAAAAATCATACTTAAATCTCGCAAAAAAACGTATTAAACGTTCGAAAAAGACTTAAATATCACCATTTTCGAGTTTTCGACTTAATTTTGTAATTATTAAATTTCTTTTTGACAAAATTTTGCAAATTAATTGCGTTTCTGGCTAAAACACATATACTAATCTACTCAAAAAAAGCAAAATAATGATATTTTGACCCAATTTTATGATTTGTGGAAAAATGTAGTTTAACGCTCGAAAAAAAGAATAATAACAACACTTTTGGGATAATTTTGAAATCTTTAGATTTATCATTGACGAACCTTTGCAAGATAATTGAGTTTTTAGCTGTAAAACGTACTCAGAACAACAAAAAAAGTATTCTCAACTAATTTCTTTTCAGAAAAGTTTAATGAAAAAACTATTTCCAATTCAAAAATATGCTTAAACGCTAAAACAAATGCAAAAATAGAAACATTTTTGACCTAATTTTGTAATTTATTCGCTTAATTTAGACAAAATTTCAACAAAATTTTCTAAATAAATAATTGTGTTTTTGGCTAAAAAAAACTTGGCATGATACTCAAAAAAAAATGTACTTTTGACCAATTTTAATGATTTTTGCCTGGTCTTGCAATATGTTGCAAAAAAGGAGCTTAAAAGCTCGGAAAAGACGTAAAATATTACCGTTTTTGACTTAACTTTATAATTTTTAGGCTTATTTTTGACGAAATCTTAGAAAATCTTTGCGGTTCTAGTTAAAAAATACTAATCCGTTCAAAAAAGGCAAATTTATTTAATTTTTGA